CCGTAGCACTGCCATCATCCTAAGACTGCTGATTCTTTAAGTGTCGAATGTCCGAGACTTTGTGCTTCCTAGTTCACCTCCAGTGAACATGTCTCCTAAGTTGAAATTATGTCATAGCCTCATTCCCACATCAATTACTGTGGCCAGTTAAGCCAATCAAAGTTCATTCTGGGAGCTGAAGAATCAACCCATTCAAATTCCATAGCTACTTCATAATCTGAGAAAGAAAGGAACAGAGATGGTAGGAGATGATTATGTTTCCCATTACAGTTTTCTCTTTAAAACTGTCCACTTTAAAATGTTGACTGTGTCTGGTGCATGGTAAGCTCTCAGTAAATATAAGTAGTCTAACTTATGGTCTGCCTGCATATTTGGAGTTATTGTGAATGTCCAGGGAAGGGGTAATAATGAGATGCACCCTATGGAAAGCATAAAGGGAAGTGCTGTCAACACCTCTCTGAACTCTTATGTTGTGGCAACACAAAGAAATTCAAGAGAGGGGCAGAAGTTTGTGGCCCCAGAAGCTGCATTTGGGGTTTCACTGGGATCACAGTGCATCTGTATGCACTTGCTCTTCCACATCTGGGGAGAGCCATTTTCATTATGGAAATTGGCATTGGGTCAAGCCAGCCTGGTAGGATCTGAATTTTCACTTTATTTAAAACATTCACCTGAGGTCAGGAGTTTAAGACCAGCCTGGGCAACATGGTGAAACCCCGTCTCTACTAAAAATATAAAAATTTAGCTGGTGGTGCATGCCTGTAGTCCCAGCTACTCTGGAGGCTGAAGCGGGAGTATCGCTTGAACCTGGGAGGCGGAAATTGTAGTGAGCCAAGATGGTGCCACTGCACTCCAGCCTGGGTGACAGAGCGAGACTCCATCTCAAAAAAAGAAAAAAAGAAAAAAAATTTACTGTGACTTATATCCATACATCACATTGTAAATGACTTTGGAATATATTTAAAAAAAAAGCTGGGAGTCCATTATGCTAAGTGAAATAAGTCAATCACAAAAAGACAAATACTGTGTGATTCCTCTTATATGAGGTACATAGGGCAGTCAAATTCATAGAGACAGAAAGTAGAATGGTGGTTGCCAGGGAGTAGGGGAAGGTAGGAATGGGGAGTTAGTGTTTAATGGATACAGAGGTTCAGTTTTGCAAGATGAAAGGCGTTCTGGAGATGGATGGTGGTGATGGTTGCATAGCAATGTGAATGTACTTAATGCCACTGAACCCTACACGTAAAAGTGGTTAAGACAGTAAACTTATGTGATAAATATTTTACTATAATTGTTTTAAAATTAGGAGTCATGTGTGGGATTTCCCTTTTTACCTTTTACCATCATTTTTTTAAAAAGCTCTTTTCTATTGCTACTTTAATCATCTTACTTGTACAGTCAGCAAAAAAAGATGATTTGTTTTTCCACCCCAGGTGCCAAGATTTCTTTTTTAAGATTAAATTTAGACCTTCTAGTGAGGTACTCTAGATTATTTTCTAGATTTACTATGTATTACTTTTCTTCTAAAATTTTCCTTTCCATTTTTGCCTTCCCTGATAATGGAATTGCTTTGCAGCTCCTGTTTCTCCTTTTTCTTTTCCCAAAATTGACTAACTTTAGTGGCTATTAGAGTTACTGTCATCACACATTTTCTTGGGAGGATCAGAACAGCCCAGCCAAGTTTTGGGTAGGATATAGCAAAAGCCAAATTCTCCTATGTATTGTGGCTGCAGCCTGAGTGTCACATCCTTCGCCAGGTGCTTGACTGTCACCTACTCTGCCAGGTCCCTTATGAACTTGACTTCATTAGCTTGTCACAGCTTCCCTGTGGGGTGTATGTCTCATTGTCATTATATACCAGGACACTCAGCAGGGTTGAGTAACTTGTTCAAATCTCACAGCTGGTATCTTTGGCCCTGAAGCTTTATAAGGTTTTTGTTTGTTTGTTTGTTTGTTTGTTTGCTTTCTGTTTTTTTGAGACAGAGTCTTGCTCTGTTTGTTTGTTTGTTTGTTTGTTTGTTTGTCTTGGCTTTTTTTAACCTCTGCCTCCCAGGTTCGAGTGATTCTCCTGTCTCAGCCTCCCAAGTAGCTGGGACTACTGGTGCGCACCACCATGTCCGGCTAATTTTTGTATTTTTTTTAGTAGAGACGGGGTTTCACCATATTGGTCAGGCTGGTCTTGAACTCCTGACCTTGTGATCCGCCCACCTCAGCCTCCCAAAGTGCTGGGATTACAGGCGTGAGCCACTGCACCCGGCCAGGTCTTTCTTTTTATACTCCACTGCCTCCAGCCAGTCTTACCAAGGCATTAGGATAGCCCCATCTCTGACCTCCTGGGGCACTGTCTGCCTTTTGCAGGGGAGGGAAAAAGCCTGCTGGGAAGAGCTGGTAGTAGAATTCCCTGCAGTAAGAGATGAGTTATCCTGGCTTTTGAACTGCCTCCCACCGTTTCCCCTCTGCGTCTACCCAGTTCCTCCAGGTTCCTCTAGTTCTCCAGCTGCCGTCACTACATCTAACCCAAAGGACATTTTGATCCTCTCTTGGAGCCAACATGGGTGTAGACAAACCCCCTTATTCTCTGTGTTCAGCAGAAACAAGGATAGCACTTTTCACAAGTAAAGGAACATTTTCTAAGAAAGAAGATGAAACCAAGCTGCAACCAGAAAAGACAAAAGCATCCAAGTAGATGTACTGACAGTGGATGTACTGCTCTTCTTTGTAATTTAACTGTAGTCCTTCCAGAGTGGCTAAGGGTTCTGTTTGTTTTGTTTTTCCCATAAGTTATTGGAGTACATGTGGTATTTGGTTACATGAGTAAGTTCTTCAGCGGTGATTTGTGAGATCCTGGTGCACCCATCACCCAAGCAGTATATACTGCACCATCTTTCTTGTCTTTTATCCTTTGCCCCCTTCCCACTCTTCCCCACAAGTCCCCAAAGTCCATTGATTTAATTGCAGTTCTACTCCTCAGTCCCCTCAAGGGGAAGAAGAATCCCAATTCTTTCTTCCTTCCTGGGGCAACAGTAGATCTGAGTGGCCGGTAGACCATTGCCCCACAGGAAATAACGTTCACATTTATCCAGGGCTAAGATTACATGACCAATTTCCACACCTGGAACTTAGTGTCCTCCTCTCCTGACAAGGGGATGAGGAAACTGACATACTGAGAGGAACTTGACAGGAGTTTAATCCTCGAGGCCACTCCCACAAACAAGATATTGTAAGGAAGAGTTAAGAGCATGTTCAAATTCCAGCACTGCCCACCACTAGCTGTGAGACTTCAAGGCGGGCAAATTGTTCAGCCCCTTTAAAGTCCCACTTCTCCCCATGTAGGGGATCAGGGAGAATTGAAGAGGTTTGTACACACAGTGCTCAACAAACCCCCAAAACATTCAATGTTATTAATGACCCTGGGAACTGGGTGTCAATACTCCACGTTTACAATTAAGGCAGGTCTGCGGAGGTCAAGGCCCACGTTCTATTTCCCCATTGCTGTGGCCCTCATCTGAGCACTTGTTCTCATACTGCCTTGCACCATTACCAGACTGTGCATTTGTGGAGGCCATAATAGCCCTAAGTAAATAACTGTTTGAATTAAATGCATGAATGCCTGTGTTTGTAAAAGGAGAGGAAATGATTTGAATTTGAGAGATAGCAAAAGTACTTATACCAGAGGCAAATAAATTAATTCATTTAGACAGTTAATATTTACCAAGTATTCACAGGGTACCCAGCCCTATTCATGCTGATTCCACAATTTTGGATACCTGGAGGGCATGGGGAAGGTAGGGCGGGGTGACTGGAAGAATGGGGAAGTTGGTCTAAAAAAGTCTGAATTACAACTAATATCCTTCTTTTCAGATAATTATAATCTTCAAGTTGGGTTGAAAAAGTATTGTTGGATTAAGTAAAAAAATGCTAATATCATTTACAATAGCTATAGTAGTTATTGTTACGGGAAAACATTTCTGCCTCTTCTATCCCCAAATCCTAGTTACATGAATACTTTGCATAATCTCACAAAGCTAGTAATTTTAACTGTAAATTAGTATAGAGGCCAAGTGAAGTTTTTTATTGGACTCTTCCTATGGGCAGAAAGTAGTTAAAAAGAAGACATCATGCTAGAATCAGGGGACAAGATGCTGGAGAGCAGGACTTCTTGTCTTGAAGATGGTTTATGATCCCTGACTTGGTCATTCATTTGATTTAAGAACAGGACAAGTAGCACAGGTGGGAATCCCAAAGGTCACAGGCATCTGCAGTCAGTTTTGGGGAACATTGCCATTGCTATGAAGGCTTGATGCAGTCAGGGTTGTGGATAGATTGGTGAAGTGAGGGGAAGACATGGAGGATTCCAGGGCTGAGAATCCCTCAGTGTGGGCATCTGCAGGTTCAGACAGGTAAGAGAACAGACAGGTTAAAGCAGGTTGGATCACAGATGACATGGTGAGAAAGGACTCATAGGAGCAGGCCCCAAGCATCAGTTCTTGAAAGTAGTGTTAAAATCAGAGTGAGATGAATCTGGGGACCTCAGTTCTCTTGCAGTCAATCTTGAGTCATTAAATGGATTTTGTCTGATGCAAAAAGGGGACTTATGAAGGCAGCCTAGTAACGTGCCTCCAAGCATATATTATTTGAATCCCAATCTGTCACAAGCTGACTGATAGCAGTAAAGTATGTAATCTTTGGGCTTCCACTACCTCATTTGTAAGGTGGGGATGACAACAGTACTTGCTTCATTTGGATGTTATGAGGATTAAATAACTTGGCAAAGTTCACATGCTTAGCAGCACCCAGCACCTGGAAGGTGCTCAGTACCAGGCAGTGATGATTATTATGAATGTGTAGGACCTAGACTTGCCACATTTGGTTTGTGAATTCCTCAAGGGCAGGTTCTATGATTTTGTCTTTAAGTGCTCATCAAATTACTTAGTTCATCACCCTTATTGTCATTAATAAAATAACTCTCAGCTGCTTTGAAACATGGCTTCTGCTTCCAGTGGTGACTACTGTCTGATACCAAGCAACCTCTTCATGGACCTGGAACCAACTCTTCGAGATTATTTCCACCAGCAGCGAGATAGCTGAGCCATGGCAATGCGCACAAGCTATCACGTGAGTGATCCCTGTGCCCATCACATACCGCTACACTATTCCCTGGACCTCAGATCCCAGTAAAGGCAACAGTAGGGAGTACTTCTGAAAGCAGAAGTAGAGAATTGTGGACTCAGAGGGTTGGAAGGGATTTTGAAGGTCCTCCAGACCAACCACCGCACAATAACAGTAAGAGTAATTAGAGTAACGACAAGCAGGAAATGGAGAGTAGTGAAGGGAGGAAGAAGGGAGTCCTCCAAGAAAAGGCAAATGTAAAGGTCCTATGGTGGCTCAACGAAGCCTTGCTTCTAATGATGAGGTTATCAACTGTTCTCCTTTAATGTGGGTGGTCTAGGATCCCTGGGGAATAGACAGGCCATCTCTTCAAATACTGAGGTCTCTGGCTGAGAATTACTTTGCAAAGAGGCAGCTAGCATCTCTTGTGGATGTTCTCATCAGATAATCTTAGTTAAATTATGGAGATTTATAACTTTTTTTAAACCCTACTCTCTTTTGTGTAGCTTTCTTAGTATGTAATGCATGTTACCATCTTTCTTTCTTTGCAGTTTTTAAACGTTAAGCCTCTCTACATCTCATACATTCAGAGTAGACTTTTTTTTAAAAAAAACTCCCTTCATTTTCTTATTTTCTCTACTTTGCCTCTTCAGTTCTTTATTTTCTGCCCTTTTGCCATTCTCTTTTTATTTAGTTTCTTTTCTGTCTTATTCTGAGTTCATCTTGCTCTAATATTGCACATGAGTTTCTATTCAGTGAAGGTTTTTATTGGACTGTTGCTATGGGCAGAAAGTAGTTAGAAAGTATCTTCAGCTCAAGACAACTCCATCTGTTTATAGAGAGGGAAAGCTGGAGGTTCAGCCTTGACTGGAAACCAGGATTCTGGCCCTTCCCTTTTTGTGTGACTCTGACATTCCCTTAGTGCTTTCCATTCTTAGGTCTTAGAATTGAAAAGAGAGAATAAACGAGGCCATTGCTCAGTAATGTGCTCCATGGATCACCTTTTTATGAAAGTCTTAGAAGACACAGCTTCACCATTCAAGGTGCAAGATGTTCCAGGCTGGTATTATGCTCCCAGAGAACTAGGTGTTCTGGCTGAAGCCCAGTCTCTGCTGCTGTATTGCCCACAGGCATTGTGACACTTTGTAATTCTGGGCAGGCTTTGCTTTAGAATCAGAGACATTGTGGGAAAGGTTCTTCAAAGTCGTGCAGTCCATCTAGCCATCTGATGTCTGAATCTGTGAATCCAGGGAAGGGAAACTCACTACTTCCCAAGGCAGCCCGATTCATAACATGGCCAAATAATAAAGCTGAATTTTCAAAGAAAACATCTCTATGTGGTTGTTTGCTTAGCAGACACTCCTTCCATTAATTACAAGGTTATCAACTGTTCTCCTTTGATTTGAATGGTCTGAGACCCCTGGGGAATAGATAAGAGGTCTCTTCTCCAAATACTGAGGTCTCTGGCTGAGAATCACTTCTGCGAAGAGGCAGCGAGCACCTCTTGTGGATAATAACTATTCTTAATTTTTAGTAGCCATGGCTCATTTCCTTTCTGTTAAGGTTTTTGCTGGGTGCAGTGGTGCCACTTGAGCCCAGGAGTTTGAGTCCAGCCTGTGTAATAAAGAAAGACTCCATGTAAAAAAAAAAGAGAGAGAGAGAGAGAGAGAGAGAGACAAAGGGCTTTAAAGTTATCAGAATACTGGATTAGTATTGCATTATTTTTCTTAGATTTAGATATGGAGGTAAAAATGTGTCTCTAGTGCATGGATCCATGCCCATCATCCTTATCATGTCAATGATAATAGCTAACACTTCTATAATAGCTTTCACTTCTATAGACACTAACAATTCTAACACTACTATGTGGTAGGCACCATTCTAAGCATTTTGCAAAATTAAATCAAGAAAACATCATTTTTCTAAACAACTTTCCTTATTTGCTTCCCTTCAGGGGCCCAGAATATGATGCCACACCAACAAAAGAAAGAACCTGATGTCATCTAGTCCAATACCAACTGTCCATATAAGTGTTGGGATATGTGTCTCACTGAAGGCCACACAGCTATTAGGGGCAGTCAGATCTCCTGGCATCTGGGCCAGAAAATATCCTGAGCACTTCAAACATCTTAACAAGAACAAGCTAACTATTCATAACCGGGATCAAGTAAGGTATTCTAAGAACCTGAAATTCTTTTATCATAAGAATTGGTCTCATTTTGCTCAACATATGTGCAATACACTTCCACAAGATGGCAAAATCACCTTTCTATTTTTCTGAATGTTTTATCTCTAAAAATAAGCCCTTCTTTGAATTTCCCTTTAGGCCCTTGTATCATCTCTTTCTATTTCCCAGGCTCTTTAAAAACCTTCTGAATGTAGCCCAGTGAATTTTTATTCAAGTTAGGACAGGGGTTTCTGGATTGGGAACAAAATAGTCATTCGAATTTCTCTACAATTGATTCTCTTATCAGAACTGAAAAACACAATTTGGTTGACCTATTCAAGATCTGTTGGATCTTCCTCCTGTGTGGCTTGTGGTGAAGGACGTAAGAGCAGTGCAGGGAGGTGCCAGAGAGAGGGAAACCCTGGGTAGAAGAGTGATGAGGATAGCATCTTAGCTGGCTGCATAATGAACAGAACACCTCCCTAGAGGGAGAGAAGAGCTGGCTCCCTGGCTGTTTGCTTCCATGGAAATCCATCTGATACCTGCTTCTGGGGCTGACCAGGAGCACCATATGGAAACTCCCTGACCAATTCTGCTTCTGAACATTTCCTCCCAAGAATCTCTGCCTGTGCCCTGTCCACATTTGGAACCAGGCCTGGCAACATCAATAAAGACGAAAGACTTTTGTCTTCTCAGAACATGGGGATATTCTAAGTTAACAGCAGCTTTTCAATAGCGGTTTGATGAATCAGTATGTGGATTACATAGAATATTCTAAAAATCATGTTTGCCTGCAAGAAGTGACAGCTTTATAAACAGCATGGACATGGATGAATGAGTCAAATTCACTTTAAAACATATGCTAAGACAATATCAAAATGATTTTGTTGTATAAGATATTGTCCAGAATGTATGGGTTTGAGCTTCTTTTAATTTTACAAAGAAATTATTATAGCTATATTTGTTGAGGAAAAATACTGAAGATAGGTTGGTTGAGTTTTAGTTAGGTTTGGGCAAAACATATGTTTTCTCTAATTATCTGAACTTTTCTCCACTTTAGTAACTAGCAAGATGGGATTTGTATGGGTTTTAGAGTCACACACACCTGGAACTTACAATTGTGGGAGCTTGTTTATGTTACTTAACTCTGAGTCTGAGTCTCTGCCTTCTTACATGTGATAGTACTTACCTCACAAGCCACGGTGGGTTTCAAATAAGAAATTGCACATAGAATAAGTTTGTACAGTACTAGGTATACAGATGTTTGGTAAAGGTTTCTCTCTCTCTCTCTCTCTGTCTCTCTGTGCGTGTGTGTGTGTGTGTGTGTGTGTGTGTGTGTGTGTGTGTTTGGAGAGAAGAGGAGGAATTGTGTGTGTGTGTGTGTGTGTGTGTGTGTGTGTGTGTGTGTAGGATCTGTAAACATCATAAGTAACTAAAAACCAAATACAAACCCAGAAAGGAACAGAGATGAGAAATGGAAAAAAGAAGTTTGGAAAAATGTTGTCAACAAAAAATATTTATTAAACACCTGCATTTAGGGTCCTTTGCCAGGTAACCTATGTATGGGACTGAAGGATAGTTCTTGTCCTCAAGGAGTCTTTAGTCCATTTGAGGATGCAAGACTTATTCATGCGCAAAAGACTTAATTAAAATGCAAAGGAATCATTACTGTTACAGTTGAGAAGAGAGAACATTCTCTGTATTTATCATGTCTTTGGAGACCATATAGAAGTTCAAGGGTGCTGTGGGCAGGAGGAAAGGGCAGATGTGAACATTTTGAAAGCACCAGCCATATGAGTCTGATGACAAAGACTCACAAATGTCTACACATTTAGTTTTGTTAAAACAGCAGCAGTGAAAAATTATCTTAACAATCTTGAAAACAACAGAAAATCCCCAAACAATGCTAAGTGGGGCCTGGTAACCTCGCTGCACTTATGCCAAGCGGGAGGGGATGGGTGGACAAGCTGAAGATGTTCAGTGCATACTCCTGGCTTCCTTATTCGGTCTAAGAGACACCGACACCGTTTGTAGAGTTATTTACCCAGATCCTCTTTAAGCTCCATTTCTTTCTCTTCCCAGCAGATCCCTGGAGAGATGCCCTTTCAACCCTCCATCTCTGCTAAATGCCTGTTGGATCCCAGCAGTGGAGCCTGCTAGATGGTTGGATTTACTTAGAACAGACTATTATGAAGGTCTGTTAGGGTTGGTGAAAAGAATTCTAGACAAATCTTCCAGGTTAGAAGATAAATGACAGCTCTTCCCAAAGGTATTCTCACGAGAAAGCACAGCAACCATCCTACAGAGGGTTAATAGTCTCCCCCCTCTCCAACCCCCAACTTGCTGTCAGAGATCAGCTAATCTGATAATTACGGCAACAAACACAGTTTAGACAAACAAGACCTGACCCTGAGGGTTTGGAATGAAAACATTTACTCTCTCCCTCCCCAGAGAGACGGTGCCTGGAGCATACACACAGAGAGACACTGGGAAAATACCCTTGTGCTGGAGCAACAGGGTGAAAACATCTGTGTTCCTGAGCTGCTTAGGAAGATAAAGTTGCTGGGGAGGCGGCTCGGGTGGGGGAGGCAGGAGGAGCGGGGAGTGGTGCAGTACAAGGGTGTGCATGTTTGGAGCAGATGGAAAATGTACCCCCATAACTGGAGTTGTAAGCAAATTGTAATTGATTTTATAACAGAGACAGAGTGAGAGGAAAGGTACAAAGGAGACCCATGCAGGATTTGAGTGAAAACCTGGGGAGTGGCTAACAGAAGAGAAACAACTTAAAACACCAAAGTAGGATTTATTCCCGAGAGCAAGAGGGGAAAGATATTCACAGTGGTCTTGATTCTAAGTGAATTTAATATCCGCCTGCCAGCGAGGAAACCCAAGCTCTAACAGTCTAAGCTGGCCAGTCATCCTCTTCGATCCCCTAGTTTGGCTTCTAAACTGAACAACATGCCCTTTCCCCATCCCTGCCAGGCCTCAAAAATTATCAAGCAAAATTTTCCCCTTTTACTTATAAAAGCAGCTTCCTAGAAGAAATCTTTCTGGGTTGCTGAAACCAGAGATTCTGACTTGGATCTGCCTCAACCTGGAATTCCAACAGTTACTCCTTTCTCAACTCCAGCGTGAAGTTTCCCACACATCCCCGTCCTAGTGGCCACACATCATTTTGGTTTTGCCCATGACTGAGGGTGAGTCAGCCGGCAAACACTCCTTGACCCTTAGGATTCTCCAAATTAGATCTAGGCATCCACATCCTTGGGGCATTTGCAGATCGCATGTATGGATGCACCAAGCTAAGAGGATAACTGCTGTGACTGATGATAGGATCAAGATTTTAAATGAATTCCATAAGCTGAAAGATGGTCTCAAATCAATAAGAATGCACCAGGAAAAAATGCAAAGCACTGCATTTAGACCCAACAATCAATTGCACAAATATAGGATGGAAAACAAAATATAGACCTACAAAACAACAATGTATGACAAAACAGACCAGTTCTTGTTCGGCAATTGGCTCAATATGAGACAGCAATGAATCTATCTGCTTAAATAGTGAATGCAATCATGGTAGGCATTAATAAAAGTATTGTGATCACATTAATAGTTGCCTATGTTCTTAACAAGGGAAAGGTAGGATAGGACTAAACAAATCCTTTTTTTTTCTTCCAACTTTAGCTGTTGGCTGACCAAGTACATGGAGTCCTGTAGGTTGTGTTTTTTTTTTTTGTTTTTTGTTTTGATTTCAGGTTCAAGTCCCCTATTGCAATCTATACAAGGTCCACCTTGGCAATTGTGAGTGGCTCCCACATCCTGTTTATCCTGTTTACCCCACTTGCTCCTGTGTGTTGAGGCTCACTTGGCTGCTCCTCTGCTGGTCTGTTGGAGAGTCCCCTAGTCCCAGAGAGAGACACCTCTTTCCAGACAGAACAGTCTTCTCACTGTTCCTCACACACACCATGGTCATTTGTTCGTTCATATATCCATGGAACATCCACTGTGTGCCAGGCACTGTTCCAGGAACTGAGGATTCAGTGGTGAACAGTAAAGACAGAGTCCTTGACCTCATCAAGCTTCCATGCTCATGGAGGTAGGCAGGCCCGAAACAAAAACTTTAAAATGTCAGAAAACAAGAAGGTATGAGAAGTTACCTGGTACTTGAAAAGCCTTACACCTTCTGCCTAGACTTTTCAGAATGTGACTTCCTGCTTCCTAACCCAGCTCAAGTTCCACTTTCCCCTTGGAGGCAGAGAACTCCTCTGAGCCGTCATCCCGAACTGTTGCCCAGGGGCTTGTACCACATAATTTAGCACTCAACTGTGCTCTAATTGTTTCCCTAATGCCAATTATGCTTCCCCAACAGACTGTAGGAGACTGTTAACTCTTTGAGGTTATAGGATATGCCTTCAATTTAAATACATTTAGTCAAGCTCTAGCTGGGATGCTCTTTAGAGGGAAATGAAAAGCACAGTTCAAACATGACTTTAGGTTTTTAAGCCGATTCCCAGATAACAAGAGAACTTCTTCCTGTGCTCCTGAAATCCTCTAAAATAAGAATGTAAAGTTAGGACAAAAGTTTGTTTATTTGTTGAACTTACATCCCCCCAAAAGTCCTAGACTCTGTAAGGAAATCTTTAAAACAACAAACATACCTTAAATCAGGCAACAGCAAGATTAGAGGGACCAGCAGGAGAGAAATATCCAACAAGCTCAGAGAGGGAGGAAAGGTAAGTACAAAAAATGTCAAATTCCAAAAAATGCTTAGTTTAGAGTTTAGCCCAAACAATATTCTTCTGGGCCCCCTCACACTCTGTGGAATCCAAGCAGGCCAAGAAAACCCAGAAACAATACAAATGTCATCAATAAAAGACTGGTTAAAGAAGTAATGGCGCCTTCATACTGTGGGCTGGTATGTGGAAAAAATAAAGTAGGTAAAGCTATATACACGGACATAAAAAGTTTGATCATTATATAGTTTAAGAAGCAAGTCTCAGAGCAATATAGATAATAGAATCCTTTCAATTTAAAAATTGTATGTATATATGTGTGTGTGTGTTGGGGGGTGTGTGTGTGTGTGTGTGTATATATATATATACACCAAATTATTTGCCATGGATATTTCTGGTAATGGGGTTACAGGTAATAGGTTGGGGGAGACAGGTAGGAGAATTTAATAACTTATTTTTGCTTTATTTATTTGTGAAATGTTATATATCCTACATTTGTTTTATTTAGAATGAGCATGTATTGTTTTGATAAAACAATAAACAATAGAAACAACCAGAGCATCCATTGATCTTTGTTTTGGAGAAGACACACATGTTGTAAGGAACATGATCATTACTACTGTTTGGTTTGCTCCTTGGAGAATTGTCGGTGCCTTGTGTACCTGTGGGAGCACTTCTGGAGAGAAATCCTAAGCATTTGTCAATGGACTGTATGTGGTTATCCCTTAGGGGACACTCCTAGGGGGAACAAAAGCATATCCAAACTGAAGACATGGCAGGGCACACCAGGGGAGAAATGTGGAGGCAGCTAGAGGCAGGTTTCACAAGTTTGCTTCCTAATGCAACTCAAGGATGCACTCAACAAATGCCTTGATGATTTTTTTGTTGTATAAATGAATTCCTAGAAAAATATGTATAAGTAAAATTTTATATCAACTGTAATTTTAAGCAGTAAGGGAAAACAGTATTTAAGAGATGTTGAGGTTAGGAGCATGGCTTTGGAATGTTAGAGATGTTTTGAATTCTAAGTTTGTCACTTACTAGCTTTGTGATTTGGGGCATATCGTCACCTCTCATGTTTTCTTACTACCTCTCTGAGTCTCTTTTGGGGACTCTTCCTTCTCTTTCCATTCCTGAAATGCTGGCACTTCTCAGGCTGCTGGCCGAGGCCCTCTTTGGTCTTCTCTGGGTAATGTCATCTTCCCATAGCTTCAGTTCCCACTGCATGCCCATGGCACACATCAACTCAGGTCAAATCTCCTCAGCTACATGCTTTGACTAATACCTAATGAATCTCCATAGACACACAGTAAAACCCTTTAAGATATTTTATAGGGTGCTTCTAAATCTGGGTCCAGTATATCTTTTTAAAAATTGAAACAAAATATTTTACATATTTATGGGGTACATGTGATATTTTGTTACATGCATGGAATGTATAAGAAGTCAGGAGTATTTATTATTTGTAAGTGTTGGGAACATTTCAAGTCCTGGCTTCCAGCTATTTTGAAATATACAATACATTGTTGCTAACTATTGTCACCCTACTCTGCAACTGAATATTAGGACATATTTCTTCTAACTGTAAGTCTATATCCATTGACCAACTTCCCTTCATCCCCCTGCCATCCCACACACCCTTCCCATCCAGTGTACCTTTTCAGTCTTCTTGCTGAAACCTCTCTTTCCTCTCCACTCTAATCATACCAAATCACTTTTCAGTTCTTTGACCGTGTTATATGCTCTCTTAACTCTGGGGCTTTGCAACTGCTATATCCTCAGCCGTGAGCCCCCTTTCTCCTGCTTTTGTGTTGGCTAATTCGTGCCCATATTTAGATCTCAGCTTAGACCTCACTTTTTCTGAGAAACCCCTCTTGATCCTCCTTGTCTAGGCTAGTGTGTTAGCACCTAACCTAGCAATTTCCTAGAACTGCTCTCCTCACACTGCAAGGAATAGTTCATTTATACATTTGGATTGCTCTCAAGATTGTTAGTACCATGAAGGCCAAACAGCTGTGAGTCCCTTGGTATCTGGGGGGAACTGGTTCCAGGACCCCTGCAGATACCAAAATCTGGAGATGTTCAATGCCCTTATATAAAATGGCATAGTATTTACATGTACTTTCTCTCATATACTTTAAATCATCTTTAGATTGCTTATAATGCTTAATACAATGTAAATTCTATACAGATGGTTGCTATACTGTATTGCTATATTTTTATTATAATTTTTAATTTTTTTGTCCCAGATATTTTCAATCAGCATTTGATTGAATTCACGGATGGGGAAGCTGCATTTTTTTAAGACCAACTGTATTTGTCTTGTTTGTCGCTGTATGCTTACAGCATAACCCCTAATCTAGCACTTAATAGTCCCATAATAATTGTTGTATGAATTACTGTTATTACGAATATGAGCAAGGTGATACAATGGTTAAGAGTTGAACTCTGGTTTCAAATTGGCTAAAATCAGCAGCTACTATGACAAAGTCATGTGTCAGCATCGGGCTCAGCAGGGACTTTATTGGGAGTTGCCTTCCAGATGGGCATCCGAGAAGTTGGCACTGGATGGTCTCTGGGAGATGCTTCTGCTTCAGGGAGTGGTCTCTGGGGACTGTTGTTATCTTCAGAAGAACCCTGAAGATGAACTGGCTCTACCTTTAACAGGAAAAGCTGCTGAGAACCAAGTCTGGGCTTGGCAGCCAGTGGGGAGGGGAGCTGTCCCCAAGAGGTGCTGCTTGAGGATGCTGTTAGGAACCCTGGCTGGAGGTGCTGCCCTGGGCAGCTGCAGGTAGTAGCATTGCTTCTCAAAGGGGCCCCAGGATTACCTGCAGCTAGATTCACCTAGAGAGTTTGTTAAAAATGTCTATTCCTTGGCCCTGCTCCAGATCTTCTGAATCAGGATCTGTATTTTAAACATCTTTTTAAACATCATTTTAAAAGTCTGCTTCACAGATTTTTCTGAAGTATGTTAAGGTTGGAGAACCACTAACAGAGGCTGAGTTGAGGAGACCTTGGGATAGCAATGCATCCCAGCCTCTGCTGTCTGGAGTGGAGAGGCATTTTTGTTTCATTACACTCCCCTTTCTGAAAATCCAGCAAAATTAGAGTCCCAGGCCCTCTTTGTGGAACTTCAGACTGACTTCTCAGAACGTAAATGGTCGCCAGCCCTCAAAGACCAGCTGGAGGATGTAGCCTGGAAGAGATGTTTGTAAATCAAAGTATAACTTTCTTTGACTTATTAGGCATTATACGTACTTTTCTGAGGAGAACTTGAATAAGCATTTGGTTTGCAGCAACTGTCTTGTTAAAAATGATTTTCTTTTGCGAGAAATCTCAATTATGGTAGACGAGCCTTGGTCTGGATTCTTCCTTTTGGGTCCTTTGAAGGCGACAGGGCCATCCTGGCACACTTGGTTCAGGTGAGTGAAATGTTTTGTAGGTGACATCTACTCTCTGTATCTGTCAAACAAAGATGGATGAGCAGGGCCTCGGCTGCCGCAGGGGACATTACCGCCTTGGTTTTTCCATCAAACTCTGTCAGGCTTTGTAACTTGAAGAAATGAAACAGGAGCTGGAGAGGGACAGTTCCTAACGAGCTGTCAACAGGGCTGCCACGGGCTGGAAGCCTCCCTCTCTGTCGGCCTGCCTCGGCCCTGACTTTGTTCCAATGCCATTAGGGCAAAATCCTTGATTTTCTCCTAGAGAAAAAGAAATGGCCTGGAGCTGAGAGGCACAGATTTATAAGTAGTTTCTCTCATTATGCACTTCCAATGCTTAATCACCATTTCAAAGAGGAAGAGCTATCACAGCAGACTTCGAGGATTTCTCCTAGACAGGATGCAGATCCCTTCTCCTGCAGCTTAATCAGTGTACTTTTCTCACTTGCCTGAAATGGAGGCGACCTAACTCTCAGCGAGGCTGAGTTGTAGATGGCTGTCTGTCCCCAGTGATTTTTAGGGCTGGACCAAAGAAGAATTTACA